GGAAAGAGCTACATCCCGCGACACGTGCTGTGGTACCGCAAGGCGTTCACGCTACCGGCCGAGTGGGCGGGCTCCCTCCTCTTCCTCGACTTTGAGGGCTCCTTCCGCAAGACGACGGTGTGGCTTGATGGCGAGCTGCTCGCGGCGCACGACCTACGGCTACGCCCTTCTGTCCCCAGCGCTGACCCTGACCCTAAGCCTGCCCCTGACCCTGAGCCTAGGCGCACGACTGCGGCTACACGCCCTTCCGCGTGCGACTAGACAACGCAACCTCGCTCCGCCGCCGCCTCGGGAGCGGGGACAGCGCACACACGATCGCTGTCTTTGTGGACCCGGACAACGGCGACGAGGGCGCACGCTCGCACGGCAGCGGATGGTGGTACGAGGGCGGCGGCCTCTACCGCTCCGTCGCCCTGCTGCGGGTGCCGCCGCCGCACATCGAGCGGGACGGTGTGAACGGCGTCTCTTCACACCTCGCTGCGCTGTGAGCAGGTGCCGCCGCTGCACATCGAGAGGGACGGCCTCTTCGCCTACTCCAACCTCAGCTGGCGCGCGAGCGGGGGCATGGAGGAGGAGGGGGAGCAGGAGGGGGAGCAGCCTTCGGGCGGCGTGCTGCACGCGTCGGCGGCCGTCGCCAACGCCGGGTCCTCCGCACAGACGATCTGTGTCGCCTTCTCCCTCTCCCCGCCCGGCGGTGGGCGTCTCCTCGCCGCCGCGTCGACGGCGGCGGTGTCGGTCCCCCCGGGCGGGCGGGCGACGGTCTCCCTCGCCCTGTCTGTCGCCGAGCCGGAGGTGTGGAGCGCGGCCTCGCCGCACCTGTACACGGTGCACGCCGCCGTGATGCAATCCGGCTGCGCCTCCTCCTCCTCCTTCTCCGCCTCCTCCTCCTCCTCCTCCTCCGCCTCCTCCTCCGCCTCCTCCGCCGCCTCCTCCTCCTCCTCCTCCGCCTCCGCCTCCTCCTCCTCCTCCGCCGCCGCTGCCGCCTCGTCGTCGGACGGCGTCGTCGACGCCGTCAGCACGACGCACGGCTTCCGCTCGCTCCGGTATGACGCCGACGCGGGCTTCTTCCTCAACCAGAGGCATTTCAAGGTGCGTGGCTTCTGCGACCACAACTCGTTTGCGGTCGTCGGGATGGCGGTGCCTCCGCGCGTCGACCTCTTCCGCGCGCAGGCGCTGCGTGCGCTCGGCGGGAACGGGCGGCGCATGTCTCACAACCCGCCTGCCACCTCGACGCTCGACATCTACGACCGGCTCGGCGCCGCTTAGACACACACCTCCGAGACACCTCCGAGACACGTCCTAGACACCTCCGAGACACCTCCGAGACACCTCCGAGACACCTCCGAGACACCTCCGAGACACCTCCTAGACACCTCCGAGACACCTCCTAGACACCTCCGAGACACCTCCTAGACACCTCCGAGACACCTCCGAGACACGTCCTAGACACCTCCGAGACACCTTCGAGACACGTCCTAGACACCTCCTAGACACGTCCTAGACAGCTCCGAGACAGCTCCGAGACATGTCCTAGACACGTCCACGTCGCTTCCTCCGCAGGCGTCGTCGTGATGGACGAGAACCGCCTCTTCGCAAACTCGTCCAAGTACGTCGCCAACATGGGCGCGCTCGTGCGGCGGGACCGCAACCACCCGAGCGTGGTGATCTGGTCGAGTCGCAACGAGGCCGGCTGCACTGCGAGGGAGCTCGGGGGATGTGACGGCGGCACACATGGTTTACAGGTCCTTTTGCAATGAGGCCGGCTGCGAGGGCTGGCGTGAGAGGGGCGGGCCTCGCTTCCAGGAGGTCGCGCACCGGCTGGACGGCTCGCGGCCGACGCTCGCAAACATGTTCACCTTCGACGACCTTCTCAGCCACACGGTGGACGTGCAGGGCTTCTCGCACCAGTCGCGGCAGAAGCTCGACGCGTGCCACGCGAGGCTGCCCGACAAGCCCATCTACATGAGCGAGTGCTGCTCGTGCAACACCTTCCGCGACGAGGACGAGGGGTGCGAGATCACCCGAGATCACCCGAGATCACCCGAGGTCACCCGAGATCACCCGAGGTCACCCGAGGTCACCCGAGATCACCCGAGATCACACCTTCCGCGACGAGGACGAGGGGTGCGACACGCGGCGTGGCAAGCGCGTCGGCCGTGAGTGCGGACCGCGTCTCTTCACACCTCCCCCTCTGAACCAGGTGCGAGACGCTGCGCGACAACCCTCACACCGCCTGCACGCAAAAGAGCTTCAACGCGCGCTGTGCCGAGTCCAACACTGCCACCAACGCCTCGGACGGCGCCGCGTACGCCGTCGGCGACATGGCGTGCGGTCTTCCGTCTTAGCCGGCGTGTGTGTCAGGCTGCACTCGTGCGTCTGTAGGCACAATGGTGTGGACGCTGTTTGACTACTACGGCGAGCCGCCAGTCGGGGGCTTCGAGGTCTCCTCCTCGTACGGCCAGTACGACCTCTGCGGCTTCCCAAAGGCGGCGGCGAGCTTGGTACCGCACGTCCTTCCCTGACCCTTCCCTGAACCTTCTCTGAACCTTCCCGTAGGCGGCGGCGAGCTGGTACCGCACGCAGTGGCTGCTCGGCGTGCCAGACGGCCCCGACAAGCCGTTCGCGACCAAGGGCAGCCACGAGGCGCTCCCGGTCGAGTCGCGGGAGGTGTCGTGGACGTGTCGTGGACGTGTCTCGGATGTCGCCGCAGGTGCACCTGGTCGAGTCGTGGGAGTCGCCCGATGCCTTTCCCTCGACCAAGGGCGCGAAGACGCGCGCGATCCACGCGTACTCCTCCGCCCCCTCCGTCGAGCTCCTCGTCAACGGCGTCTCTCAGGGCACCCGCGCGGTGACCCCCCCCCCCGCCTTCACCCCCCCCCCACACACACAACACGCACACATCACACACACACACACACACACACACACACACACACACACACACACACACACACACACACACACACACACACACACACACACACACACACACACACACACACACACACACACACACACATCG